TGGGAGGAGATAATCGAAGAATGTCTGCTACAGGGAGACAGAATCAACCATGTGCTCATTTTAAGGCGGCTGTTAGGGGAGAATCTGTGGGAATGGCATTAAAAGCAGGATAATGTGCTTGGACTTTATCTTTAATTTAGCTTTCCAGATTCCCTCTGTTAATAGTTAGGGAAATATAGTCCTAGTCATATTTCCCTCAGTGTTAGATTCCCACACTGCTGTCACTATTGTTTAATAATCTTGAGCAAATTATTTCTTGCATGTGATATGAATGATATTATACAATAATTCCTGTATTCTATTGGGTCACATTTTGTGTTAGTTTGGGTTGACCAGAGAAACAAATTGAGGAAGATTCATGTATGTATAAGAAAGATCTTTATAGCATAGAGTAATTGTGTATTAAGAAAACATCCCAGCCCAGTCCAGAGCAAGTCCATAAGTCTGATATTAGCCCATATGACCGATACCAATCTATATATTCCTCTTCAGACTCACACAGCACATGCAATGATGCCGAATGCAGGATGATCACAGGCCGGTGGGTGGAAAGTCCTGTGGGTCCAGTGGTGGTGGAAGCATCTCCTGGGCTCTGGCTGCCATCAGCATGGCTCCACATGTCTTGTTAACAGGAAGGTGAAGCAGAGAGAGATAGTGGCTTGCCTCTTCTGATGGCAGAATCAGGAGAAGTTTCCAGAATCCTCATGAGAAGACCACACCCACAAGGAGGCTCAGTCAGGCTGTGACCTGATTGACAGGCTATACTCCACCCCTCTACTTATTTATCAACTTGACATGAAATGATGTATCTACCACGCATTTCTTTTGAATGGGCACAAATATGTTCTCTTCCAGTCAGTTGAGCAAATAGATGTCTTCCAAGTTTTCTTGCATACACTAGCAAGTGCTTCCTGTGCTTCATCAGTTTGTTGAAACATTTCACTGGTACTCTGTCAATTCTTGGAGTCTTGTTTTTAACTAAAGCCTCAGGGCAGCTTTAACTTCTTCCTTCAATACCTTTAGTTCTTGATCTTATGATATCTTTTGTAATGGTTGGATGTTGACCAATTCTTTTGGGGACAGTGCTCCAGATTCTATTATCTTTTGATGTTCTCTCCATTGTTGTGCATTTTACACATAAAATCCTTCAATATTGCAATTGAGACTTACATTTTATCATTAGTGGGGTTTTTTGTTGGCTTGAGATATGCCAAGTGTATTCTCCCCGTTTGGGTTTCTAACTTAAATTCGTTACATATTTAACTATCATGCTTTTACTGTGTCTTCTTGAGCCGCTGTTCAGCTCATCATTCCTACGGTTGTCTTGACTTTATTCAAGAAGAGCAGGAGCTCTGGTGGCATAGCGGGTTATGACTCAGTTCTTTGAACATACCAACTGCTCCAAGAGAGAAACATGTGGTTTTCTGTTCCCAGAAAGATGTACAGGCTCAAGTTGAAAGAGGAGACCTCCCCTTGTCTGCAGTCACTCCTTTGAGAGCAGGAAAATGGGAGACGACCATCCACTTGAGGCTGTGCGACATCGAAACAGGGCTGGGGCAAATCAAGGGGCCCTCACATTTTGGAGGAGACACTAAGAGTTCTTTTGGTGAGTATGGTGGGTGTGTGGGGAGAAGTAACCTCACCTGGGGCAGGGATGCTAAACCATGATTATAGGGAACCTAGGGGGACAATGACCAGATTTTATGCTCCTGGGTAGACACTATGGGCATGCTTCTACCCAACCCTCGGTGAACCACACCATGGACTAAGCACCATGATGACCTTGGATGGTGACCTTGCAGGCAGCATGGTATAAAGCAGGGGCTACACCAGAAAGACTTAACATAGAGGTCTGGCTGAATGAACTAAACCCCGTCGCGAAGTTGTCAGCACCATTGGACTGAAGACTGGGGTACTCATATGGGACAGGAAGCAGAGAGTAGTTGGCCCTGGACTGTGTAAGTGGTGGTCATTGGACCTTGGCAGCAAACCCCATGCTTGATGGGGGTCCAATGGAAAGGGACCTGTAATCATCATATATTTAGTACCTTGATGCCGCCTCGCAGTGATATGACAGGTTTTGGATTTGTTGGACAAGGATCTGCACTTGAAAGAATTGATCCACGAACTCCCCCTGGCCCCAGTCCCCATATTTACAGTAAACAGACCTCAATATAATGACTCACAGTAACCCTGTAGGAGGGTAGAACTTCTCTCCAGGGCAGTGGTTCTCAACCTTCCTAATGCCTCAACCCTTATGTAGTGGTGACCCTCAACCATAAAATTATTTTTGTTGCTACTTCATCACTGTAATTTTGCTGTTGTGAGTCAGGCGACCCCTGTGAATGGGTTGTTCGACCCCCAAAGGTGTTGCGACCCACAGGTTGAGAACCAACGGTATAGGGCAACAACTCATGGTTTGTGGCTCAAGGCAGAACTGTACTTGAATAGACCCCTCATATCGACAGTGTCCAGAGGGCTGCATCCTTTGGGAAATTGATGATGTTATCAGTGTCATCGCCTTATACCACAGGGGAGGATTGACAATGCTGTACTTTTTTGTTTCTATGGGGTTTTGTGTCCTGCCTTGAGCTTGTTTGCTTATTTGTTTTTGTTTATTTGTTGCTGTTGTTGGTATAGTTGGTCTTATGGGGTTTTGATTTTGTCACAATACAACCGACAAGTTGTATTAAGTAATACAAAAAGGCCCTCTTTTGTTTACTCAAGTCAACCTGAGTCATGCTTATCCCATGGACAAACAGATGGATTCTGAGTTCCTACTCAACTCTAGCCCCAATCCAAGAACAGTTAGTTCTATACTTGCCTGGCAGGCGAGACACCGTGAACAGGAAGGTGGTTTTCCCAGGGCGAGGCTCGCCCAGTGCACTGCGGGTGTGCTGACCCCTGCGATTTCCCCAAATGCGGGAAACTCAACTGCATAATTTGTGGTAGTAGGGGACTGCGTTCACCCTCTCCACTAAAGGAAAAAGAAAAGAAAAGAAAAGAAAAAGAACAGTTAGTTCTGATACTGACCCTGGCTTGATACTCATTTTCATAAAATGACCACCGAAGATAGGGTGCTACAGCAAGGTGTCGTGAAGAAAGCAGATGGTGCCTGGCTATCAATCGGAATAGTGTCTAGGTCTTAAAGGCTTGCATTCAGAGAAGCAGTCATCTAAGCAAGAAGTCAATGAAGTCCACATGGAAGCAGCACCCCAGCTTGTGTGATCTGAAGATGACAAAAACAAAATTCAACTATGACCTAGGGAAAGTATCAGAGCTAAAAATATGAACACCCAATTTGTAGGAGACTATGGTGCTAGCCCCAAACCCATCTGCAGAGTATCTAGTCAGATATGAAGCTGCTGGCAGGTCTCCTCTAGCCACACACAAGGGTCTCAAGCAGCCTTACATCAGACAGAGATCATTATAATCTTGATTATGCTGGATCTTGATACTTGGTCATCTGACCTCCCTCTTGATCCAACCTGAACTTATATTCTGGGTGCAAGGATCTCTTGCTTGTTCCGTGACAAAAAATCCAATTCCTAGCTTTTAAAATATTGATGGCGGTCTTTCTTTCATTCTTTTTTGTCTTTTCTTTCTTACTCATTATTTGTATTTTTATCTTTATATTATTATTATTTCATCCTTACCACTTTATTTCATTTTTGTTTTTATCATTTCTGTTGGGTTTCCCAGTTTGTGAAGCACAGAAGGAGTGGATGCATAGACATAATTACTGATCCAAGGGTTTATAGGGGATGTAGGGGTGGGATATGGGAGATAGAGAGAGAAACAAATTCATAGACAATCATATGTATATAAGAAAGAGTTTTTAAAAAAATAAGAAAGAGTTTTATATACAAGAACACTTGAATTTTGAGAAAACATCCCAGTCCAGTCCAGATCAAGTCCATAGTCCAATGTTTTTAGCCCATATGTCCAATACCAATCTATAAAATGCTCTTCAGACTCAAGAAACACATGCAATGACACTGAATGCAGGGTGATCACAGGCCAGTGGGTTGGAAGTCTTATGGATCCAGTGGCATTGTAAGCATTTCAGCACTGGCAGGGGTTTCTATGTGGCTTCTCCAGCTCCAGAGGTCTGGTTGCATCAGGTCCAGAGCCTAGAGGCTTCTCCAGCTCCCAGCACCATGTCTTGTCAGTAGAGCATCTCTCAAGGGAGTGAGGAGAGAGACTCCCACCTCCAAGGAGGAAATTTAGAAATTCCCAGAATCTTCATCAGTGAAGGCCATGCCCACACAGAGGCCTGATTGGCTATACAATGATTGACAGACTAGACTCCACCCCTTCACTCATAATCCTCTCAAATTGACAACAGATAATATAACTACCACAGAGAGTGACCAGCTTTCGGGAGTAAACAATGAATGTGGGAGGGGGAGGGGGGCACTAGAACTGATGTGATTACACAACTCATCTTAAAGGTGATTTAGCCATGGGGG